AGACCCCTAGGAAGAAAACAATATTGTCTTGTCCTTAAAAAATGTGATTGAACTAGCACGCAGTAGCCCAAAACCCAGCCCATGAAACAGTGGGGGGAAAAAACAACCCCAAAACCTCTCAAAGACCCCAGAAGCAGAAAGTCCAAGTAAGCAATAAGGAATGTGATGAATGTGTTTATGTCACCTACCTGAAAACTCAGAGTCTGTAGGCGTTTCTGTGGCCTCAGTCCAACATCACTGGTGTTTGTGTTCATAATGGAGAGAAATTCTGCAGCCTGGATAAATGTGTTTAGATTTATGTGAATGTGCATTTAGTGTGGGCAAAATGTATTTTTAGGCATATGTAAAGTCAAATAATTTGTCAAGCTGAGGACTAATTTTATTTACCCAAGAGACAGTCATGTTTTTGTTGTATAAATGTATAGCTAGGCACTTAAAATGTGACTATTTGACAGGGGCCTGTTTGCCAACTAGTGCAGAGCCATTCAAATGTATCAAAGATATTCATGATATTCAGTGCGGTTGTTCTGCAGCCTTCAGTGTCGGTCTGACAGAGCAGTGCTAAATCTGAGTTGGTGGTTTATTGACCTCATGAACCATAACAGAATTTTTAGCACTCCTGCAGTTCTAACATGCCTAGAATTAACATCCAGCCAGAAAAATGAAGTTATTACAAGCAAACCATACGTTAAACAAGAAAGTTATTTTAATGATCGCTCCCCAGATACCCAAAGGCACTAGTCAACGCTGTGGACTAATGACCTACAAATTTTTGTGATTAGTACACATTTTTAGCATCACAATATTTTTTCAACAGCTTCAGATGGCACATGAAGTACTTCCTTTTTTATCTGCAACAGCTTTGTCCTGAATATCCTTCCATTTGTTTAGTTTAAGAGAAAAGCGTATCAAAAAACACCTGAGCTGTAAGAATCATGCCAGCCTGCCAAGCTCTCTCTGCTGTCCTTTCTCCAGATACCTCTACAAATCACGGGTACACACTTGTGTAACGCCGAATTTACACTGATGTAACTTCTCTAACATTGGTCGAATGACACAGCCAGAAAATTGAAGTTAGGCGGTGATAAATCAGATCCAGTATTGCACAGATCTGCAGGCTCAGTGTAACACAACAGACAACAGAACATCTCAACCGAGCACAATTTTACATGTCTTTTTTCCATGGCAAAAACTTTTGTAATGTGTCGAGTATAAAGCTCACATAAATTACATTTTAAAGGAACTACCATAAAGTATATGCTTCAAATAGACCTTTTACAATAGAACACAAAATTCAAATGACATTTTTTTCAGGAAAGCACTCGAAACTTTAACACTTAGGTCCTGACAACATCAGATTACTTCAAGCAGTAAACGTTAAGAAGTTTTACGTGATTAAATAAAATCAGCATTACAATTTCCAGGTATTATAAATATTGAACAGATTGTAACAACAAGATATAATTATAACATAAACATGAAGCTCAAGAGACTGGTACTGAGGAAACTCTCAATTCTTTGCAGATTTATATCTGCACATAGCAAAATCAGTAACAACTGGAGAAGAGGTTACAATATTTCATCTTACATATCGATAATCAATGTTTTGCAAGCAGCAGACTACACATCATCTCCTTTTTAAAATTAGTTTACAGAATCACTCCTACCTTGGAAAAAAATCTCCAGGTCAAATACTGCTGCCAGGTATCAATAGAACATTTGGAAGGAAATTTTTAAAACCATCAAGTTTTGTTAAATGCCCGTGTATGTGTAGATATGTGAGATTTTATATATGTAAACATATATAAAATCATAAACCTCACTTAACCTTCAAAATGGAACTACCTCTAGGTAAGAAATACAAGACCTTTTTCAATACATTTAAAGAGTGTGTTTATACCTGAGACATTTTTGCATATTGATGTCTTTGTACCTTTACCTCTAGGTACTCGCACAAGTCCTTCACTCTACTCACACAAAGCCCATCACAGTTAGGTGGGTTCTTCCCACTAACTCCATGGACTTTGACTGAGTCCTGCCTTATCTAACCTGGATGTATAAGCAGAGACATCACAGAATTAAATATATATCTTTAAATAAACAGTTGCTGTACAAGAGGACAGGCTGGCTTATGCAAATGCAGAGCTAGTTCACCATTTCTGATACTTTTCACAATGTCTGATTCAAAAGAAGAACAGTCCTTTATACAGGGTGATACAGGTTTCTACTTGCTGGTTAAAAAAACACACCTTTTCGAAATATTTCTGCAGGTGATGGATCATTGGCTACATGTGATGTTGAAAATGCTCCTTCTTGGCTGACCTGTTTCCTGGCTCTTGAGTAGATCAGTTTCTCTACCCAGCAAGCAAGAAAACCAGGAGTGGAGGAGTAGTAAGTTGATGCAGCTACATTACATTAAGGTCACAGGCCAATGCAAATGGATTGAGATTTTCAAACAAATGTAGGTAGTTTAGGAGCCCAGTTCCTCCTGAAATTCAAGGCATTTGGATGCCTACCTCCCACAGATCCATCCGAAAGTCCCAACTGTACCCAGTCCAGCTTTCGGCTCCTCAGCCCTGCAGGTCACATGTGCTGAGTGATAAAGCAAAAAGGGACATAACCTGCATAAGGCTCTTACAGAATTTCACAGTGCCCTTTAATTTGGCAAATGCCAAACCAAATTTAAAGGTTCTCTTTGTAATATAAACAGCTCATTAAAAAAAATCCACCATGTTTCAATCCATTTTGCTTCTGACAGAGGGAATTCTCTAGAATTACTTACATGCAAATATAATGTTATCATAATTGATATCAAATGATAGGACAAGGGGCAATGGGTGCAAGCTGGAGCATAGGAGGTTCAACCTGAATATGAGGAAAATCTTTTTCACTGTGTGGGTTACAGAGCACTGGCCCAGGCTGCCCAGAGAGGTTGTGGAGTCTCCTTCTCTGCAGACATTCAAAACCAACCTGGTTGTGTTCCTGTGTGACCTGGTCTGGGTGATCCTGCTCTGGCAGGGGGGTTGGACTGGATGATCTTTCAAGGTCCCTTCCAACTCCTAATATTCTGTGATTCTGTGATAGCAATTAGAATGGGAAATTGTATTAAATATAGTTTAGCCAATGGAAAGATAGTAGTGGAAGTGAAATAAAGTGTGCTTTTGGACATGGAATTGGACTTACTTGAAAAATCAGCTAAAATAACAGTACTATATTGTGAAAGACATCACAAAATGAATCAGCTTCCAAGTAGATTGGTACACCCTTTTATGTGGCAGAAACACTGCTTTTTTGCACTATATTTTACAGAAAAGAGTTGACTTTAGTGATAATGGTCAGCAAAGTCATCTTTAAACAGCTCTTTGTTCTATTGTACAGGCATATAACAAGGAAAAGGAAAGCTACATTTCACTGGCAATAGGACTTCATAGACCTTAGAAATTTTAGAAATGTTGAATTTAAAATAGTGGTATGTAGCACATTTCTGTGTAAAATAAATCAAATGAACTTTTCCAAGTAGCAGAAATTTCTAAGACCTGACACCTGTTGTAAATAGACAGAATGTAGTCAGTGTTCTTAAAGATGATGAGGACACACAGCGATGCACCAGGAATGAACTCATCACACGACACAGTGATGTGTTATGCATCCGACGTAAGAAACTCTACTGCTTGCATTTCCAGTTGGCTGCTCCGGTTTTACAACCGCACCCATTCCAAACCTTCTTGTCATTCCTATTCCTTCTTGTACCATATTCAGCATCTAAACTGAAGAATTTTCAGTGAGAACAACTTAAATCCATCTGTCCCAAACCTATGAACCCTTTGCAACCCATTGGTGGAGTAAGGGCATGTTCCTCTTTCTGTAGTTCAGGAGCTCATGCGTTACGGCTTTCATGGAGCAACCAGCACAGGGAGGCACTTACGTGACATGTTTAAAACTTATCTTTGGTAAACACACACACACACAAAAAAACAAACACTTGTGTCTAAGGTTTTACTTCCTGATCGTAAGATAAATCTTCATTTGCTACGAGTGTTTGTGTGCAGGTACCTAAACATATACATGACATCGCTAGTACAAAAGATTTTTTCATATGCCACTGCCAAGGATTTGTTTTAATTCACATAAAAACACCGCAATCCTGGGCTTTTTATTTGTTTGTATGTTTTTTCATTACTTCATTTATTACGCATTAGAGCACAACAAATCAGCAATAGAAAGCAAGCCCTATGTGCTCAATTTTCACCTTCCTTCTCATTCTACTACCTTGTTTTTCGAGATGAATTTAATCAGAATAGTTGTACCTCTTACAACTTCTGTCTTCTGTGAGGCAGATCCTGGGGTCCACATTGTGTTACTTAAGCAACCGAATCTCTCACTCGGATCAGTGGAAATTTTGGATACACAGAAATGCTGAGTCTGGTCTTGGTAGGGATGGTTCCCTCTAACACCTTACCAAACAGCACTCTGGTGAGGAGAGGAACCTCACATTTCTCATTGGACCTGACGAGGATCAGAGCAGCACCTGTAAAGCAGAGCTCAAACCACCAAGAGACAGCCCAGCAATGCATATTTTCAAAAGGTGCTGCAAATAAACGTTGCTGAAATGGCATGGGTGTAACTGATGGATGATCTACTGTAATGTACCCAGAACACTATCATTTTAAATCAGCATTTAAATCACTCTCATTTCTACTGAGAGGTATTTTATTGACTTAATTTTTCATTTACACTATTTAAATTTTGCTTAATAATTTTTTAGAACCCAGAACTTAGTGCATTTCATTTTATAAAATTAGAATAATTTATATACTTCTCTTTTCATAAAAAAAGCATAGCCCAAACACATGTAGGGGTATAAATCCATCATGAATTATGACAGCCATTTCACTTATTTAACGACCCGCTTAACAGTGATTTAGATGTTGACCAACCAAATAACTTTGGCAACTTGCACAAAAATATGTCCTTAAATCAAAAGTGATGATAAAACTTGCTTTAATGATGCTTTTATTATGGAGAGAACTGGAAAGAGAGAGGAGTGGAAGTGCTGAGGAGGTTATCGTGTTCCTAAACCATGCCGCTCTGCATTGGTATGTGAAATGGGTATGGCTGGTAGATGATAGGTGGTTGTCCATGAGCAATGTAGTAACTGCTGAAGTTTCTGTCACTGATATATGGAGCAGGCTGATAATAGCATGTTACATTGGCTGCATTTGGGATGATATTTTGTTCTCCAAGTACTTTTAAAGCCAGAACTGTAATCATATTCAGAGTTTGTCTTCGTTCGTGTCCCATGAGACAGACTGTGCTCTTGTTTACAACTCCATGCAGAGTCATCAAATAGTCATACTTGCTTTTTTCTTCCCCAATGAAGTGGTTGCGCAGATATGACTCAATTTTCCTTTGCTGCTCAGCAACATCTGGAAAATCAATGAAGAACCTGGAGCACATGTAACGTTCCTGAGATTTAATTTCAGACTCATCCGCTGGCTTAAAGTCACGAACCAGGAGATTGCTGTACTTCAGGAGGCCACCTCCTCTGATTTCCTCCGGGTTCCTTGTGGAAATCAGTTTGTATCTTAAGTGGATCATTGCTTCATTGAAGTCTCCGTACATACTCTCAGCGATGACTGTGGGGTGAGAGTCTTCTGTCAGTTTGCAGTCTGTTGCTCTGTAAACGTTTAATATGGAGTCCAGTATGATTTGAAAGGAGTCCACGCTAAACTCAAACTGCCGTCTGAGCGAGTTGACGAACTTTAATTCCACATTCTTGCCGCTGTTGTTTGACAGTGAGATGAGACTCCAGCGGTCATGGTCGGTAGACACTTTGACCATCTTCTGCACATAGGCATCTTTCATGGTCTGAGCAGTGATTTTTTCCTTATTAACACATTTTGGCAAGAAGTCCAATAGGCAATGAAGAACCGCTTCCTTAACAACCTGGAACTCGAGCTCACTTGGAAGTTCCACTCCAAAAATGATGTCTAGGTCCTTGTAACTGGTTCCGTTCTGCTTCACTAGGATGTGACTGGCTGTCGAACCGTTCAGGCGGATATCTCTAACATTGATTTGCTTTTCAATGAGCTGCTCCTTTACCACATGAATTATATCCTTCGGCTTTACATCCAGTGTTGGAAAATTTCCCCTGCCATGAATAGGTATGACCTCAGCTAAAACTTGATCCAAGATTTTAATCTGATCCCAGGTGAGACTACTGAATCTGTGGTCTAAATCCTCAGTCATTGTGATATTGGTTGGCTAACTAGGAAGAAACAGAAATTAAGAACAAAATGTCAGAACTTGCTCAAATACAAGAGAGCTTGACATTTCACTAGGTTATAACAAACATATATCTTCCTTCCTTGGCGCAGTGACAACGCAGTTCATTTTACAGAGACACAATCCCAGTTAACGTTCTGAGTCAACCACTGCACTTGTCACAGGCTTTTAATTGAATTTTAATGTACTCGGCTTTTAATCCTGCTGAGAAGCCATTGTGTTATTGTATAATCCATGACTCAAAGTAAATGCAGTAAACCATATAGACTTCATTTAAAACTACTCAAAGGTTAATAACATGAGATACTTGGTGGTAATAATGAAATTCCAAATAAATTTCACTGTGAAGAGATGAAATGAGCAAAATGAGCAAGTTGGATTCTTTCTACCCTGCCAAGAAATCTCCCTCTATCTTCAGGGGCTTTCATACCTAAAACTACTTTCTGAAAGACCAAGAAGTTTTTTTTTAAAGCAGAAATTATGCAACTCGCTCATTGTTTACCTGGCCATATGCCTTGGATGTACTTTAGTCTCTATGGATCGTCTACATGCATGCATCCTTCAATACCACTTGTTACGGATATCCGATAATTGTTAAGCTGTTTCCACTGTGTTTCTAAGGCAAAATCGTTTCCTTCTAATCCATTAACTGTGTGCCCACATTAATGTACCAATGCTGCAAGTTATGGCTTGCAGAACCGATATGAAAACCCCTTCCAGTCTGCACTGATACCCTAAAACCTCACAAGAAAGCCTGTAAAGAAGCACTAAAAGAATACATGGGATAAAGCTTAGGCCCTGGAATTCCTCAGTCTAAAATTATATCTTGTCTTCATATCATCATAGTTTGCATGGATGATTTATTTACCTTTTACAATATCTAAAATATGTAATTTGAAGCACCCTTCTGGCCTATTTTACATGCCTATGCCTTTACCATTGGCTATTTATTATTAGGATTCCATGCTTATTCCTTTATTACCACAAACTATTATTATGAAAAACTTCTATCCATCCTCCATAGCCTTTACGACATTTTTATCATCAAAAATAGCTGTTACAGAAAGGCACCGTGAATTGTGGAAGTATTGGTGGAGCGAGAAGGTTGGAAGGAGAGGATTTTGTGTAGACTTTTTTGCTGTCATGTTTGTCACCTGTGTTATGGATACACCAGATCATGATGGACCAGCTCTGATGATCTAGAAGCAAATTCAGAGTTGTCAGAACTGCTGCTTAAGCAGTAATTTTTGTTATGTGATTTGTCTGACATTGCAAAACTTTGAGAGAGCTTTTCAAGGGTAATGCTTTGATATAAAAAGGGCTTAGAGAAGGGAATGTTGAAATTCAATCCCTCTTTTTAGCAGAGGGACCCTCTTCAAAGACTTTCTGAAAGTCAGAAGGTAGAAGTGTCCCTAAATGAGCTTTCAAATCCTTTCTTTATTGCTACATGTTTTTAGTTATTTTAGATTTCATTGGAATATGCTAGGATTAAAAAATGACAGGAAAAAGTTATGTCAGTAAGTATCTCTTTTGTGTTGAAGAGGCATACCTCAAAATGTCACTTCTCTAAAGTGATTTCTAGAGGATCCAGAGATGCTTTGTGAGTTCAGAGCCTCAACATTAACATCTAAGAATTGTCTTATGATAAATACTAAGAATTCTGTGCTGAAATAATGCCTTCAACTTTGGCAAGTAAGGAAAATGGTCTAGGAAAAACAGGAAGTAAGTTGTCAAGAAGATAATTAATTTATAAATTAATTTATAATGTATAAATAAACTTTTTTAAAAAATTATCTACTAGGTTGCTTCCAGGACATAATCCTGCACCTTCCTAGAAATGCTTTCTCTTGCTCTTTTCCCTAATCTTGTCTGGCAACAAGAAAAATTTCCAAGCAATTTTATAGTTGTTAGGATCCTTATTCCTTAAAGCAGTGGCAAATTTATTTACCGAAGTTCTCAGGCTAATGTCAGGAGTTATTATTAATGCAAGTAAGCCTCAGTTACCATAAATCAGCAGCAGTATTGAGACTATAATTAGTCAAAGCATTGTGTAAAACCTTGACAAAGAATTTAGTTTCTGTTACTTCTTCCACATGAATACCTAAAAGCATTTCATGTGTTTCACATTCAGTCTTTTCCTATCTTAAAGTTCCTATGTGGGCTAATGGAAGGCTGCATAAACACTAGCACCATGGTAGTGAAAGGAACAAATAGCCTTTGAAATGGTGTATTGAAAAAAGGGGCTTTTCCTCACTTAATCAGTACTAGTAACTTATTGAAGCTCTCTCCTAGTGATTTTTCTTAGGCCTGTGTTTATGGGATTTAAGATGTTACTATAAGCTGCAATAGACTCTGAATCCTGCCCCATTTAAGATCTCTGCCAGATACAGCAATGAGGAAAAATAGTTTTCAGAGTGTTTCCTTTCACTTATACTCACTAGAGAAGCAGAGAATAAGATGGATCATATCTAGTCAAGTTTTGTGATCTATTATCGTTATTATAAGGTTAGAAAAATACTACCCTGATTCAAGTTCTAACTTGCCCTTGAGTGGTCACCTTCAGCTGATGAAGTGGGAAAATGTTTAGTTGCTGTGGGATCACTAAAAGGAGTTTTGCTGATTTTTATTATTTACTTCTAAATTGAAATTCGGAGCTCTAATTTTCTTCAGCAGGGTTTGGACAAAAAACCTGTGAGTTTGGTTTTACAGTGATGGTAAAAGATTTAGTTAACCACCTCTCAGCACTCTACCGCACACCAGATTCATCAAAAAAAACCAAAAGCAGATCCAGCTTTACATCTGAATGAAGAAAATCTGCCATGCTAATGACAGCTTTCATGTTCCACACAACATTCATAGAAACAGATACTTACAGTCTAGAGGACAGTCTCACCAAATTTAGCTCATATTTTACTGATAAACTGTTTAAGATTCTCTTTTTATATACTCTACAATGTTGCTTCAGTGTATTTTCAAAGGCTTTGCAATGTGCTGACATTCTCAAGAACACATCTGAAATAACTTTTGTGCAGCTGTGTTAGCTCCACTCTCTCCCCTTTGCTTTTATCTGCTCCCCAATTTGTCTGTTTTACAACAATTATGTGGAATACTTTAATGCTCCAATTCTCTTTACTTTTTCTGCACTTGAAATCATTGTGAGGGGACCTTTTACAGCTGAAGCAAAAGGCCTTGTCAGCTGCCATAGTAACCTTGTTTTGGGAGGTTACCCCAGAGATGCTCAAAGTAACCAAAGCCCCATATTGCTTTTGCTGTATATTCATTATATGAATCATTAATGATTTCTGTGACACCATGCTAAAGTTTGATTTTAATTCAAAGATACATTTCTCTATTAAGTTGGACATTTTCAAGTATTTTGCATGCTGACTGACTTAAATACTGTAGCTGGCATTAGCTCTGAAGGCAAGAATGTCAAATGTGGAAGGAGTCTCAGTCATAATTTAAATGCATATGAGAAGCATCTGGGGTATCCTAAATGCGGACATATTTAAACTGGTTTTACAGTGTTCTTCATGAGTTTTTTATTCCATTACCATTAATGCATGCAGTGAAGATCCTGTTTATTTATCCTGTTATCATGAGATAACGCATGAGTTGCCATAAGTTTTCAGTACAGTTACCATCTAGTTACCCTGAAATAACAGATAATAACTCAAGGCCATATGCTTGCCTCCTGTGAGATAGAGTTGCACGATGTGCAAAATACGCTTAAGCAGAAAGCAGTTTGCTTGGACTATGCCACAGAATATTACCTTCAAGGGCAGAACATGTAAGCAGAAAAGACTTTATCAACAGAAATGTATCCTACCATTTCTCCAAACCAAGGCAAAGAACAGGGAAAAGCAGCAGTCTTGTACCAGCCTGCACCGCCCCTTCTCCCAGATGAAAGCCATTTGCAGAGCAGTACAAGCCAAGGGCAGCCATACTCCCCTACAGCACAAAGCTGGGAAAAGGAACCGAGTAGCTTACACCTCACTGAAACATTACTGGATATTGGCTTGATGAGCTGGGAGTTCTCAGGAGGACAAAATAAATAAGGAGCTTAATTTGGGTAACCAGTTTGAATACATAATCTATGTTATGTCATCCTGGAGATCTGGGGTTTTTTGGATGTTGAATTTTTCCATCATGACTCATGGCACACTCATCCTTAGCTGCATGTGGATTCCCTCACAGGGCAACATTTTCAAGGCCAGATATATCACACATTTGTATCAGTTACCACAGCACATGAGACTCCTTGCATGGCCTCCAGGTTCAAATAAACTATGTCCTTGTAAGCAGCATGGTATGAGGCACAGTCAGACTTCTCATTTGCTCTAAAATACTTCAATAACTTTTAAAAAAATAGGCATGATATGCAATTTTTGCTCTATTTGGGTCTATGGTCATCACTGAGAAGTTACTGCTTTAGGTAAAGATTATTTGTTCTACCAGATGTATACTGTGGACTAATTCCTGAGTGATGTTTCCAGATAGAATGCAAAATCTCACAGACTTACCGTGGCAGGACGATTGGCAAGCATGTATTTCAGTGGAGTTAATAGGATGACTCACTGGATCCTTTGGTAAAAATATGAGTTGTCATCTTGTCACTGACAAAACCACGAACCTCCCAGGGAAGGCTGCAGGGGGAAAAGAAAAAGAGAAACAATAACATACACTTTGAGATAAATGTTAACTACCAATCACCTGATGTACGTAATAAATCATGCATTACAACTTGGCAGTCCTGCAGTCACAACAATAGACTTTTAAGTCAGAAATTATAAGGTAAAAGCAATGGAAAGGCACAGAAGTGCTAATAAAGACTCTGGGTTTCAGGTCATACTTAATTCTCTGCAAGGATGTTAACAAACTTGATATTTTCTCTATGAGATTTTGAATAAGAATTTAGTACTATTAATAGACATGCAAATTAGCAGGGATGTAGTGGTATTATGCAAAAAAACCCAAAACAGAACTAATAACAACATGGCAAAATTAAATATTATGAATTGTGTAGTGGCTTCATATTCTTTCTAAAATAGCACGCAGATGATAGGAAGGTCTCATTTTCTGGCAGACCAGATGGTTCATTTATGGTAAGCCCAAGATTTAACTTGTTGCTGGAATTTCCATGCTCTGGTTATGCAGGAATTACAACTATTTAAAAAAAATATATCTGTATGCTGTCATATAGGCACATTTTAATATTTGTTTCTCATTTCAAAGATGTGCTGACAGCTAGGTAGTCTTTTTTAGGCTTTCCTTCAAAGGCCTCCATCCCAGCACCTCCTCTCAAAAAGTTCATAACACCTACAGAAGGTTCCTTAAACCAGCCCGAGTAGGGCTCTGCCCATCATGATTTGACGTATGTGTGAATTTATTCCTTGTTGCAGAGTTGTGCTCCGCAATCTCAACTTTTCTGCTGAAAATATATATGATTTTGGGTAAAGGTAACTTTGCAAGTATGACTTGAGTATAAATACATGCATAATCTGAAAAAATAGCCCACGGAGGCATGGACTCTATTATTTATTTTATTAAGAATATTAAGGATTTTTTTCCCCCATGCTACAGCAGCCAGATTTTTATCACTGAATATGCCGTTTTTACTACTGCCAGAAGCTCAGTACTTGGTTTCCTCACTCTGCGCCCTGCTGTGCCAGGATCTGTCTGCAGCTTTCATTTGCTTTCCAACTCATGATGGGCTACTAATTGAATGCATGCGTGTTCCCTGCCTTGCTCCCCAAATCCCTGCAGTGTTTGCAGCTGGAAATAAAGGGTTAAGTCTGGCAAGGGCTGAAGTCTTGTTAGCCTGGAAATGAGAAGCCAGTTATATCTTCAACGCCAAGGAAAAGAGGTTTTGGACTGCTTAGATAAAAGAGTCTCAGCATGTGGAGTCTGGCCTCCTGGTGGAAAAGTCAGACAAATATATAATCAGTTACTTAAAAGGAAAAAAATACATCATTTAGGCTTTTTAACAATGAACTATTGTTATTTCTTTCTGCACGAGGGTGGAAAGTTTAATGGATATATGATATCCATTAATGGATATATCATCATGATAGAATAGATTAACACTAGAGTAGAATTAATGGCTTCCCCTGGTGATATTTAGGGGAAGCAGAGACCTTTTTTTTTGTAGAAGATTACCCATTATTATATATGGTCATAGAAGCAGCAGCTTAGATTGATGAAGTGCTTTGGCTCTTGGGACATTATTCTCAATGGCTGCCTTTTATTGGCTCTGTCATCACAGGAAAAAGTGCATCATGTCATTATTCTGTACTCGTGGTTTCCAGCATTTTTCTAACTGAAGCAAAAACAAAAATAAAACCAACAACGTCAATAATTACCTCGTGTCTCAAAGATAATACTTTTCTGTTCCTGAAGTCAAAATGTGAACCGTGATGATATGCACCAACAAACTCATTTAAAAGTCTTTTACCCTTGTGCCTCTGTGCATAACGAGCAGAAGACTTTAATGAGAACCAGGAGGGCCTTGCAGATAACACATGGCTCTGTGCCTTGGCTTTCCCCCTCTGACATGCTGTGCCATAAATACTGCTTGGGAGCATGTTCCCAGTCGGTCACTGCTTTTGGGTGTTCCCACCGCCAGGTCCCACCATGAAGCACATTGACCCCCAAACCTATTGCGTGCCTGCATCTCCCATGGGTTCAGTGAGCGTGGAGGTTGCTCGGACACCTCGTCTGCTGACCCAGGGCATTTCAAGGTGACTCCCCTGAGTTGGCGAGAATAAGAGCCAAGGATCCTCTCCCCTCTCCAAAGATGCTCGCACTCCCTTTTCTGCCTGCCAGCTTCCAAAAGCAGCGGATGATTGCTCTGCTCAGCTCCTCAGACTAATACAAAAAACTATTTACTCACTCGAGATACCAGTGACTCAATCCGAAGCTCACTTATCAAAAACTCTCATTATTATGACTAAACTGCAGCAAAAGCAAGCAAGGTAAAGAATGAAACAATCCTCCTTTTCCCTCTATTAACCATCTTCATAATTATTTCTTCTCTTCAAATGCCAGAGAAAGAGGGGTGAGCTATGCAGCGTGCCATTACAGTCCTAATTCCAGGCTGTTTTCAGGAGACAGAGGGTGTTACAAAGTCAAGGCTCTCCTTAGAAACTCTCCAAAGGCTTCCTCCCCTCATCTACACCAAAGAAGAGCCAGCGACTTACAAAAGTGGCAGAATGTCTCCAAGAACCTGCCTTGTGGGGTGGCCTTGGTCATGAAAGCATTAGAGGTTTGCTGTTTTGAGAGGGTTCCAATACAACACACAGAGTAAATTGAAAGGATCATACCAAAAGCCACTTGCCTTGCTAGAAGCTGCATTTAGTTCAATCAATCAATGCAATTATTTTTTTTTCCCCTTCTGAATCAGTACTGAGCCATTGAAGTATCAAGGGTGGATTTTGGTAGAACATGTACAATGGGCTTGGAGAGGTTTCCTTGGGACGAGACAGAGAGCAGGCGACAAATGCACTCCTGTTTCATAAAGCCCTCTCTGCATCACTCCCGTTCTGCTCTGCATATTTTATAACAGTATTTGCTACTAAGCAATTATCCAGTTTCACTCCATAAGTATTTTCATTTCGTGGCAGAAGACATGGACTCTGGGCACAGGCTCCAGGTTGATTTGTTAAGTGGTCTAGGATCCCTCTGAATTAAGGCTCTTCATGACTTCTACATCAAGTGGCAAGTTTAAATTGAGTTGGAAGAAACTTGCATGTCCTGCACAAGCCTTGGCTGGCACCCTCCACAGAAATATGGATAATTTGCTGATAAAACAGCAAATCGAGGTATTTTTTTTAAGATTACTATGTCTTCCACTGTTTGTTCATATTACTGTTTGTGTTGACAATATTAACCTATAAATCATATTTTTACAAATTAATTTCCATACACTTTTTAAGTTCTTCTCTGACTACACAATACAGCAGTGGGATTTCCTTTTAATGTTATTTTCCCAATGCTATGAGTTACATTGTAAAAGCGAGGGGAAAAGATACAAATTGCTTATTAACTCCAAGAGTTTACTCCTAATTCTGCATCAGTAAGAACTAGGATTTTCCTAGGAAGTAGCTTCTCGATAACTGAAATGTTTTCTGGAATTCTGTGATAAAGTAAAAAACTCCTCAACTTCACTCAAACTACATTAGGAAAAAGGATTATGGCTGCAGCACCAGGACCACGGCACTGCTACTGTTTCATGGTGAAGGTAGCATGAAATGTCTCTGTTGACATCATTACTAAAATGCAGAGAGAAGATAAAGCAGTGATAAACCAAAGAAAAAAAGGCTAAAGCCCTGCAGCAAAGGGCCTGTATTTGTGAATTTTCCATCGCCATCAATAATGCATAATTACCATCATGTGGATGACAACTCCAATTTTTGAGAAAGACGGAGTCAAGCTTTCTATCACCAAATGGGAAAAAACAGGGAACATGACATTGGATGTCAAGAAGCCAGGACCTGCTGGATAAGCAAAGATCCAGCAGAAAGGGTAATGGAGAAGAAAATCAGCTGATGTTGACACAAATTGACATCTGCTGTAGCAGTCTGCACAGTTTTATGGAGGAAAATCACTCTTTTGTTAATGTGTACTGAAACAGTTTTTAGAGCTAGAAAAAAGCATGAAGAAGCCATGTTCAATATTATGCTCAGATTTTACAGCTATCTGATCTCCCTTTATGTACTGCTCTCCAATTCTGCATGGCAGTGGACAATTGGTATGTTGGTGATTCTGTGGTATCTGTACTGATGCTTTGAATAATTATTTTTGCATTAAGATCATGGTGACAAAGGGGAAAAGTCAGACTATAAATTTCTCTTTTTTTAGGTTTGAATCTCAACGGCACAAATTCAGTCCTCACACCAGAAACTGCTCAGGTGTAAATGAGAGCAGATCTGGCCCAGTATGTGCATGGATGGGCATCTGACTTCAGTGAGATAAATATTGGGCTCACTTCTACTTTGTGCAGTTCCACTCCATGTTACCCAGAGTTTGATGGTGAAAGTTGAATTAGAGTTTGCCTACAAATCTTGTAACCGTTCCTTGGGCTTTGTCCTGTGCCATTAAAACCAGTGAGAGTTAAACATGTATCTGTAAGACATATGTACATCTTACATCCTGAAGACAAATATACAGATGACTATCAAGCTGCTGGGAATCCAGCAAGCACTGTCAATCCCCCGAGGGTGACCCACCAAGAGCTGCTCAACATGAGTGAAAGAGACAAAGCTGAGCACAAGCTACCAACATTTCCCCCCCTTGCTATGGCCAAGCACTGATAGCACAAACCAAACTTGTTCTGGAGGTGAGGAGTCCCAGAGCTACAGCTGAGGACTGAGTCTGATCATCAGAGCCATGAACTAGGAAGGCCATGAAACCAAACAGGATTAGGAGCATTTTGAAAATAGGGGTAGAATTTCATTCCTTCAAGCAGTGTGAATTCATGAATGAATTTCCACTGCCAGCCTAAACACTGCTTAATTTACTCTCCAAAATAACTCAATCTCAATGTGATTTCAATGTGATCTTTCAAGGAACTTTTTACACTTATTTCTCCCTGATTTGTAGTGGATTCATAAATTA